TGTAAGAATAAAATTAGTTTGAGGAATTCTTCTGATTTGAGTTAGTGTCTGACTTTTAGGTGTAATAGATAGATCTAATAGCACATTGGAAAAGAACACTTGGGGAATAAAGAAAACATCATCTTTGGACTTTCTCCTTCCCCTCCCCACGCTCCATACGACCCCTGATGGTAATAAATATCCAATCCATGGACTCTGCTTTCTCAGAATTGGCTATCCCTTTTCTCTTTTGAAGTGGTTATTTTTTTCCTACATGTCTGAGGTCTCAAGCCTTGTGTACTTAGCCTGAGACAACAGGTACAAGTACCTCGAGGAGTGAGTATGGAGCTAGGCAACAGGTCCTCCTCCAGGCTGATATCCACTAGATCATCAGCACTGTCTTAGAAAACAGTGGTTTCCTCCTACTCCTGTGCTCAATGTTACAGGCAAAGCGGCGTGGTGGTGACACAGCTTAGGAAAACAAAAGATATCCTCAGGATGGTCTCACTCTTCCTAAATCACACCAGAAATCCCAGCATGCGTGGCCTTAGGGTTCTCAGAAAGCCACTCTTATCATCCTGCAGGGCAGATGGACAAAAAAACGCCTTGACAGCTCTTCTGTTCTACTCATTTTATGTTTGTAACGTCTGTTCCTGGCAACACCTCTGTTTAATTCTCAGTTGGCTCTTCCTTTTTTTTTTTTAAGGAAGGAAAAACAAATCCCCCTCCAATACTCTGTAGAAGGGGATTAGAATCACTGTGGAATTCGGTATTGGCTAATAAAGTGTAAACCCTGAAGATCAATGTCTGAGTGCACAGTTGTCCTTCAAGCCGTTGTACTTCTGCTTTCCAAGAATAGAAGCCTACTTTTTAACCAAGAATTAAAAATAAACTCATAATTTAAGCATCTCTTGCATGCCAAATGGAAATCTTAGGGTTGAATAATCAGGCTCACCTGAATACAAAGTTGTTCTGAAAATGCTGACAATTGCAAAAAGGTTCTAGAAGCTTTTTCAAAAAACAAGTTCAGATGGTTCCAACTGAGTTACTATTGAGATTAAAAAGATCAGGTCAAAGCTGATTTTGCTTGGTGTGCATTCTGTTTTCTCTGCACGAGGACTGATTGCCTATTTCATAAATATAGTAAAGAAATTAAATTTTACATTAGCTGGGCTATTTTATTGCAAGTCACTTTTATAGGCCAGTTTTAACATAGGCTATTTTATTATATCCCTTGAAAACACTGCATTTCGATGGAAGATATTCAATGCTCATTAAACCAGCAGAAACCTATGTAGATAGAATTAATAGCCAACAGAATAGAGGTAACTGCTCCTTCATTTGCAAAATGCTGAGCCATTAAGAGGATCAATCAGTAGGGGGTGATGTAATCCACCAATGTAGTCATTTCCCGCCTGGTTCTGTGGATGCATCTGAATACAAAATTGCCCGGAATTTTTTTTTTTTTTTTTTTTTTTTAAGTGCATTAAAGAGAAAGAGATCCCAGCAGGGGCTTAATAAAGGACTTTTTTCTTCTCTTCTTACTTTTTGTTTTTATTCCACACTCCATAGTTTGGAAACCATTTTAAAGTAAAGGTTGTGAATATTAAACAGGGAAGAGGATGAAGCCAAGTTGTTGCCTTGTAGTAAAATTCAGATGTTAGTCCTTTTTCACTGCCTGTGTGGAAGGTGCAGGCTTCCGAATGGCAGTTTCAATCTTGCTAAATGGACAAATTTAATAATAACGGTTAAACGTTATGCAGGTGCAAGGGAAGTTACAATGGGCGTGTGGATTTGTGAGGGGATCTGAATCTCCAGGGCATAGACTTGAACCTCTATCAGGAGACCAAAGATGGCCCGTAACCACTGAATTGAACTAACTGTGCTGGTGTTGCCCATAACAACAGTTGCTAGGCGACCTTTGCCAGGATGTGGAGGGGTGGGAATCGCTGCAGATCATGCCACTATTTATCATCATACACCAGCAGGCTTGTTTAGGGTGAAGCCTGACACATGTGCTGAGAATGCCACATGATAGAAATGTCACACACACACCAGGAAAAGAAAGCACTGGAGGAAAGTCTGAGAAATCGTAAATGGTTGTCATGCAGCTGCCTGTGTGATTTCCGTCTGAAACTTCCCAACCGGGCGTTTCCGTTGTGTGACAGCGTTAGATGTACTGTGTAACTATCCTTCCTCTTTGGGGGAAGGTTCAGAGGGGAAGGGAAGAGAGCATAGGCGAGAATAACGAAGAGGTCATTACTCCATCAGTATTGGGACGGTGACTCTAGCAAACATCAACATAGAATCTGTTATCAATAGGTGGCCCAGGTGAGCGTGCATTCGGAGCATCCTGTAAATCAATGCATGATTTGATTTACAGTTCACCAAATATCTCATGATGTAATGCACTTTCTGAGATGCAAAGGACCCTGTTATTTATTTTTCTAAAGGTGTTACATCAATTCCAGCATAAACACCACTATTCTTTGAACAGATTGGCTAAAAGTAATACTAGCGTGAATGAATATTTCCAAAAATCATACCATGCTTTGAGTTGAGCACTCACTCAGAAAGCATCTTTTCTTCTCTTTTCTTTTGTTTTCTTTTCCTCTCCTCTCCTCTTTTCTCCTCCTCCTCCTCCTTCTTCTTCTTCTTCCTCTTCTTCTTCTTCTTTTCTCTCTCTCTCTCTCTCTCTCTCCCCCCCCTATTCTCTGTTCCACTTGGCCAGTCTGTGCAATCTCAACAGTCAGATCAGTAGAAACCTGCCTACCCCACCTGGCTTTTGCCAATTTTTTTCTTGTTGTTGTTGTTGTTTGTTTTCTTTTTCCCTTGAGACGGAGTCTCGCTCTGTCGCCCAGGCTGGAGTGCAGTGGCGCGATCTCGGCTCACTGCAAGCTTCCCCTCTGAGGTTCACACCATTCTCTTGCCTCAGCCTCCCGAGTAACTGGGACTACAGAAGCCTGCCACCATGCCCGGCTAATTTTTTGTGTTTTTAGTAGAGACATGGCTTCACCATGTTAGCCAGGATGGTCTCGATCTCCTGACCTCGTAATCCGCCCACTTTGGCCTCCCAAAGTGCTGGGATTACAAGCTTCATGGCCAGCTTTTGCCAGTTTTAAAAGAATAATTCTCAACAAAACTTTTTGTTTTTATCAATTTAAAAGGCACTATTAATTAGAGCAAATTAAGGAGATCCATGAATCTATTAAGCCATGTAGGATCATACAACTTAAGTAGCATTCCTATTTCTGAGATTTTAAATCTTAAACAATCCAACAGTATCTTCACAGATGAAAAGTAAAGTCAGGCATCTCTGGGATGTTTCTCTATGAATGTGCCAGATAATTAAAATGACAGCAGTTTCAGGGTGAAATGTCAAGCCTAACTTTCTGTGTTCTCAATATTGACACACATTTTTATAGGTCATGAGAAAATAAGAGTAGAAATCAATCATTAAAAAGGCACGTCCTATTTACAATAGCAGAGACTTGGAACCAACCCAAATACTCATCAATGATAGACTAGATAAAGAAAATGTGGCACAGATACACCATGGAATACTATGCAGCCATAAAAAAGAATGAGTTCATGTCCTTTGCAGGTACATGGATGAAGCTGGAAACCATCATTCTCAGCAAACTAACACAGGAACAGAAAACGAAACACCATATACTCTCACTCATAAATGAGAGTTGAACAATGAGAACACATGGACGCAGGGAGGGGAACATCACACACAGGAGCCTGTCGGGGGATGGGGCATAAAGGGAAGGAGAGCATTAGGACGAGTACCTAATGCAGGTGGGGCTTAAAACCTAGATGACGGGTTGATAGGTGCAGCAAACCACCATGGCCCATGTATACCTATGGAACAAACCTGCACATGTATCCCAGAACTTAAAGTAAAATATAAATAAATAATTAAATAAAATGAAAAAGCGCCTCTTGTTCAAAAAGGAAGGGGGAAAGGAAAAAGGTATGTTAAAAGATCCTTTGGAGAAATGATGGGACACAGTATGGAATTATTTTCCTAAGGCAGAAATGAAGTTGGTGACTATCGAATTTCTTGGCGGAACATCACACAGTGGTTAAGACTCAGGCCTGGACTCATTTACTGTTTCAGCATTTAGCGCCGGAACATTTTAGACAAGTTATTTAATCTAAATAAGTCTCTACTTCTCCTAGAAACTTGGGAACATAATTTTATCCACCTTGCAGAATTATCATGAGAATGTGATGATATCCCACATATAAGGTGCTTAGTATGGTCCCTGGCCCATTGTAGCTTGGCAATAGATGATAGAGAAGTGTAACTGGTGCCTTGTTGTTCTGTTAAATTGCTGGGAAAGTTCTCAGGAGAACTCCAGTGCGGAGCAGTGGCTGGGATTTAAGCACTTGCTGCCTGTCCCAACAGAGACACTGAGCAGAGAGGGAGGTAGGTGGGGTCCCATGAATTGCCAGATCTATCGTGGGACCCTTGAGTGACCTGAGTGGAGTAGGAGGCAAATGCTACTGAAAGCAGGTGAGAAAACAGGGCTGCGCGTGCCTTGCTGCTAGGAGAACCTGGCAGAGGAGGACCCTCGCCAGCAGCCTTAGCACCCTCATCATAGTCAGTGTTCCGTAGACCCAGAGTAAACAATGGATTCTCAGAAGGGACCTTAAGTGGTCAACATAACGAAGAGCATTTGCCTATCAGTTGATAGTTCCTCATATTCTATTTTGTCCTAGCAACAGCTGTATAGCATGAACAGAGCTGGAATTCTCTGTGTGTGTGTCTCTCTCTCTCTCAACAGCAGCGAAATTGATGCAGCCAGGTGTGGTTGTAATCCTAGCACTTTGGGAGTACGGGGCGGGTGGATCAGTTGAGGTCAGGAGTTTGAGACCAGGCTGGCCAACATTGTGAAGCCCTGTTTCTACTAAAAATACAAAAATTAGCTAGGTATTGTGGCATGGGCCTGTAATCCCAACTACTCAGGAGGCTGACGTAGGAGAATCACTTGAACCTAAAGGAGGCAGAGGTTGCAGTGAGTCAAGATCGTGCCATTGCACTCCAGCCTGGGTGACAGAGTGTGACTCCACCTCAAAACAACAACAACAAAAGAGAAATTGATGCCGCATGTGTGTGACTTGTCCCTGATTAAATGCATCAGCTGAGAAAGTATAAGAAACAGCACCTAGCACATGTCTCCTAACCTCACATCCCATATTCTAGAGTCTTGGCTTACCATGGCAATGCTCGTTGCTCCAGGTTCTATCTCCTCATCCCATCTGACTTCTGTGCGGCTGTGGGCACCCTACATATGGTCAAGAATTCAAAAACAACAGTATCTTGGTTTATCAGTGTCTTGCTATCCTTGTTTTCTGCTTCCAGGATTTTCCCAGAAGTCTTTGACCCTAAAGTAGAAAGTTAACACCCTTGGGGGCAACCATGAACCAGGAGGGATGGGGGGTGGTAGATAAATGGGCCAGCTTCCCATCCTTGGAGGGACAGTTCTGAGGTCATTCTACCAGGTTTCCTAGAGGGTCCCCAGCACGCCTGAGCCCACCAGTGCACTGCGGTTCTCAGTTCAGCAATGAACTTTTGTGGCTTTCTCTTTCTCTGTCTCACCTTCCTTCCCTCTCACACCTAATTCTTGGGATTTCCTCTCACACCCTGCATCGAGGGGAACCCAAACTAAGACTGCTTTGTAAACCTTTAACAAAGAAGCTCTAAAAACAACATAAGGTCTCTATAACCAGGAAGAACAGAGGTCAAATCGTTAGGAAGGTGCCAGTTTAATATTCAAAGATGCTCAGCTTGTAGATTTTGTAAGGAAAAAAAAAGTATTCCATTGGAATCCAGCATTCAACAGAACAAAAGGAAGATGTGCCATTGCTGGGGATGGTTCATGGGTTTGCCTTCTATGGGGCCAGGCGGGCTGTGTCCTTGTGGATATGCTGTCCCTGAACTGTGGTCCTGCCCACATGCAGGGTGTGCTGGAGCACGGTTCAGGGCCCCTTTGTACTCCCATGGAGTCCATTCCCTTTGCTGGATTTTCACAAAAATGTAAAAGGCAAGTCTTTCCCTCTCTTTCACCCTTGAAAATCTCACCACAAAGCACGGAGTGGGAGGTCAGAATGGCTGGATCAGGGCAGGCTGCGCTCCTAGATTTGACCATGTCTCCTTGGCTGGTTACCCAGTGGGATGGGCAGGGGCTATCAGGAGAGAACTCCCGGGATGGAGCTCAGACTCTTCTTTTTGGTTGCTGTGTGGACATGGGCAAGTCACTTCCACCCTCTGAGGTTCCAGCTAGTCCTCCTTTGCAAAGGAGAAGCTATGACATGAAAGACATAGACCTCAGGCAGTTGTTGCAGGCACAAATGTGGAGATAGATATGAAAGGCTTGGAAAACCAAGGAATAAAACTCCTGTTAGTCATTAAGTTTTAGAAGACAGACCAGGACTCCAAGATGGCATCAGTCGTACCAGTGAAGGACAAGAAACTTCTGGAGGTCAAACTGGGGGAGCTGCCAAACTGGATCTTGATGCGGGACTTCAGCCATAGTGGCATTCTCACAGCATTTCGAAGAGGTTACTACTGCTACTACAACAAGTACATTAACGTGAAGAAGGGGAGCATCTCGGGGATTACCATGGTGCTGGCATGCTACGTGCTCTTCAACTACAGCATTTCCTATAAGCATCTCAAGCATGAGCGGCTCTGCAAATACCACTGAAGAGGATACGCTATGCACCACCTCCTGACCCCACGACCTTGGCCTGAGCCCCTCCGTGAGGAACACAATCTCGATCGTTGCTGAATCCTTTCATGTCCTAATGGAAATTAACCTCCAAATAAAAGATGACTGGTAAAAAAAAAAAAAAAAAAAGTTTTAGAAGACAGAGAACGGAGATAGGAGAAGAAGAGGGAAGAGGAAATATAACAAGTCTCCTGTCAGGAAATCCCATCCTCTGAGGCTGCTGCCACCTCTGCGTGAGCACTCACATCTCCCTCTGCCTCCATGCCCTCATTGCCTGGCTCACTGCTCTCTCCTTTCAGGTCTCAGCTTAGAGGTCACCTCCTTCAGGAAGCCTGCTCTGACCATCCCTCCACTAAATCTCTGACAGGTGTCTTTTTGACCTCCTGCCTCCTTGAACTCATCCTGTCAGAGCCCTTCCTCCCACATGGTGCTGTAGTTGCCTGTGATTTGTCCACATTTTCTACAGTACCACAAACGCAATGCCCTCATCACAACAGCATTTCAGTACCTGACACAGCGCTGAGTGCATAGTGTGAGCTTAAAATCATTGGTAAGGTCAGGCATGGTGGGTCATGCCTGTAATCCCAGCACTTTGAGAGGCCAAAGTGGGAGGATCCCTTAAGCTCAGGAATTCAAGGCCAGTCTGGACAACATAGGGACACTTATCTTTACAATATAATAATTTTAAAAATTGGGTGTGTTGGTTCATGTCTGTAGTTCCAGCTACTCAGAAGGTAGGGAGACTGAGGTGGTAGGATTGCTTGAGCCTAGGAGATAGAGGCTGCAATGAGCTATGATGGCACCACTGCACTTCAGCTTGGACAATAGGGCAATACTCTGGCTCAAAAAAACAAAAAGTTGATAAATGACTAATGCATGCATGGCTGTGTTCCTTAAATCACTCCATAGTAAGAATTTTCAGATTTAATGTACTTGTTCTGAGTTGTCTAAACCTCATTAGTAATCAAATGCTATCATTACCAAAACATCAGAAGGCACAAACCACTGGATAGAATATTTTTCTAGTAGAGGAATACAATATGTATTGGTGGGCACAGAGTTTCCTCTGAAGGCGAGAAAGCTCTGAATATTGCACTCACAGAGACTTGATCTATAGTATAAAATCTGCCTGTACTAGTCCTTTTTCACCCTGCTGATAAAGACATACCCGAGACTGGGTAATTTATAAAGAAAAAGGGGTTTAAGGGACGCACAGTCCCATGTAGCTGGGGAGGCCTCACAATCATGACAGCAGGCAAGAGAGAATGAGAACCAAGCAGAAGGGGAAACCTGTTATAAAACCATCAGATCCGGGAGACTGAGGCGGGAGAATGGCGTGAACCCGGGAGGCCGAGCTTGCAGTGAGCAGAGATCGTGTGCCACTGCACTCCAGCCTGGGAGACAGAGCGAGACTCCCTCTCAAAAAAAAAAAAAAAAAATCATCTCTCATGAGACTTACTCACTACCCTGAAAACAGTATGAGGGAAACGGCCCCCATGATTCAATGATCTCCCACAGGGTCCCTCCCTCAACACATGGGAATTATGGGAGCTACAATTCAAGATGAGATTTGGGTGGGGACACGGCCAAACCATATCACTGCCCATTGAAAATATGTCAATATGCAAAATAAATGCCATCAACAGCTCATCGTATCAATGTGCTATATATAGGAAACTATAAAAAATAGTTCCCACCCCATCTAATTTCACTTAATGAAAGAAATAGTTGTCTTTATTTAGTGCTAAATATCACAATAAGCATTATGATAACAAAAGAATAGACAGAATCTTGGGAAACTTTGACCTTTACATAATGTACATGTTTTTTTAAATACCTTAACATTTAAATGTCAGAAATTTGACTGCTCTGTACTTAGTGTCTAATCTTTTCATCAAATTTTCTTTAGCGGAAGTCATGCTCAGTGAAGTTACAGTCCAGTAGCCATCTCTGTAGTGATTTAACACACATGTAAGTTGCCTTGAGCTTTCACATTTGTAGCCCATTTTGGCTGTAATAAACGTGAGAAGTACTACTAATCGTGCAGTGATAGCTATTGATCTTTCCTGCCAAACTAAGTAACAAAGAATATGAAAGGTGTGAGGTCTTTGATGCAGTTGCTGTCAAATTACAGTCAATGCATATTGCTAAAGCTTGTGAGGGCTCCAAGTCCTAAATGCAGCTTAGCCGGACTAAGCACATGTAAGTGGTGGTGACGCATGCCATTGGCTGTTTGCATCCTGCCCTTAGGAGAGAGGCCTAGGATGGAGAAATGAATCTGGGCAATGCCAGCAGGCCTGTGCTCTTCAGAGCCATGTACTGGATGCAATGAGTTCTGGAGTATAGCTAGAGAAGGAGGGAGTCTCAAAGAGGCATTGCAACATTCAGCAGGTGCTCTGATGCACTCTGCCCAAGGAACACAGAGCTACTCTTCAGCTAGCAAGAAACCAGCTGCAGAATTTGGTCTGGTCCAGGGAGGGTAGTTACCAAACACAGTAGTTGGCATCACTCCAATGGGAGCAAGGAGCAACGTTAGAGTTCACGCCAGGACCAGCAGGGTTGGCATACCCTGGGTCTTACTCTGCGACTGCTCCAGTAAACAGAGTTGTCTGAAGCACTCCAGAGACTGTTCTGAAAAACCCACTCAATCGTGGACAAGCTGGGACTGCTGGCCATCTACAGTCTGGGAGGAAACCCAGAAAGTGATTTCTGCCGTTCTCTAAGTTGTTCCTGGGTCTGTACATCCCAGGCCAGGACCTGAGCCCTGAACTCCATTGTCTGGCTGTAGTTGTGGCCCCCAGCCCTACCCCACCCTTCAGGGCTCTGGAGCTCTTGCCTGGCCTAGCTCTTCAACACCAAAGTGGCCCAGGGTTGGGAAATCTGCTCAGAAAGTCTGTCTCCCTTTCCAGTGCTCACAAACGCCTCTCCTCCTCCTCAACCCTCCTCTCTCTTCTCCCAACTTAACTAGATGTCTCTTCTACACACACAACTATGTCAGAAACTTACTACAGGCCCCCTCAGTCCCTTCTTCCTCCTTCCCTTCCCAGCTCCTCCCTATTACAGCATTTGCTACCTTTTCACGTCTTCAATTGTGTAATTTTGCTTCTAAGTCCTGTAGAGAAAGAAAATGAGCCAGACAGGTGTTGACCCTGTCCTTACAAAAATGTTCTTTGGGGAAGTCATTTTTCACATTTGAATAACAGTAACCAAGGCTGCTCACTGTGGTTCATTCCCGTAATTCCTACACTTTGGGAGGCGGAGGCAAGAGGATTGCTTAAGGCCAGGAGTTCAAGACCAGCATGGGCAGCATAGCAAGACCCCATCTCTACCAAAAAAGTTTTAAATTGTTTTAAAAATCGGCTTTTTTTTCTGACCTGTTTGAGTTCCTTCTCAGGGTAATTTATCTACAGTATCTCTAATTCTCACAGAAACTCTTAAAATATAGGTTTCATTAGCTGTACTTTATAGATGATCAGACCCAGACCCAAACACAGAACCATGGTCATGCAGGAGCAAGGTGGAACCTCCTTGAAACATTAGCTGTCCTCATTCTTAAATAGCATCTGTTCTGGATGTTTGCCAGTTGTTGGATTATTTGTTTGTTTATCTGTTGGCCGGCCGTCCTCTGAACCCCTTGCTGATTTGGGCACTGTCCCATCCAGTAGATAAGGCAGTATGACACCTGAGCAGGGCCAAATGTTCCCTCTCTTGCCCTTGGGCGGTGGGGCACAGCATCATGACCTAGACTCAGCTGACTGGAAGCCCTTGTCTGGTCCTGGGCATCCACAGAGGCAGTGCACCCTGGCAGGGCAGGTGAAGATCCGCAGAGCTGGCCCAGGCTCCAGCAGCAGCAGCAAGCGTCCAGTGGTACGGGGCCAGCAGCAGTGTCCTGGCTGTGACTGTGGGACCTCAGCTATCTCTTCTGCCACCTAGACCTCGGTTCCTGCTCATCCTCTGCCTGTAATTCTGTAGTCTCACTCCCAGTTCAATGAGTTCTTCAAATCCTTCCAATCACACCTCTTTCCTTGGACCAGCTTGCATTTCCTTCTTGGATGACAACCGAGAGCTTTTCATCCACACTTCATGCGTGCATTCTACTGATGGGGTGGTTGGTCTGCCCAGGATCCAAGTCCTCCTAAAGACCTATAAACAGGGGCAAGGCTGAGAATGAAATGGGACTGAGGAGAAGGGTTTTACTCTGATGTCTTTTGCCATTGGGTTGAAGGCAAGTGCGCAAAGAGCATCCCTTTTAGAAAATCCTCAAGAATGGGAAAGCAAGGCTCAAAGAGACTCCCTGGCGGATGATCATGCATGAAGCTAGAGGAAGCCCCTCTCTGTTTCACCTTCTGCCGGGACCTGCCAAATGCTTGCTCCAGGATTTAGTGAGACTTAGACACTCTCTCTTTTGGCCTAGGTTGCTGCCTCTTTAAATGTCAAAGTTTGGATTTGCTGCCTGATTCTTGGAAGAATCACGGGTGAACACGGTTTGGCACAGGGATCGTGGTCGGTGCTAATTCTATATAGTACTTAGAAAATCATGGCAGGTCAAGTCTAATTATGTCCTTTCCTGGCCAGATGGCAACACCAGCAACTATATCAAGGACAGAAGATACGCTGCTGTACTCTGGGATCGTCTGCCGGTTTTTGTGAAGGCTGCGACAGTGCAGCTGTCTTAAGCCGCTGGAGAGTCCCTGGTGGTAAACCCACCCACTGAACCCGTGGCAGTGGTGAATTGCGTTATACACGTGTTAACAGGCATAACAAGTGTTCAGTAACAAACTCCCCATTGAAGTAACAAATGGATGGGTGTTAACATTGCTCTGGAAGATGCATTAGAGTGTAAACCAGGAACAACCATAAAATAGAGCACTTCCTGGCAATGCAGAGGGGAGTATGTATGAAAAAATGGTGGTGGCGGCCAGGTGCGTTAGCTCATGCCTGTAATCCCGGAACTTTGGGAGGCTGGGGTGGGCGGATCACGAGGTCAGGAGATCAAGGCCATCCTGGCTAACACGGCGAAACCCCGTCTGTACTAAAAATACAAAAAATTAGCTGGGCATGGTGGCAGGCACCCGGGACTCAGCTACTCGGGAGGCTGCGGCAGGAGAATGGCGTGAACCCAGGACACA